TGACATTTTCTATCTTTTCCTTTAAGTTTTTTCGACTTGGAACTTACATTAAATCTATTTTAACCCAATTATCCTTTCTTTATCCAAAATCTCACAATTTTTTTATATTAATAACAACCTTTTTTTTAGTCATATTGATTTTATTGTAATTTTTACCTTATTGTAGAATCTATTTGCTAATAGATTTTCTTGATCTGTTTCTATTTTATTTCTGCTCATTTTTTAACCAGAACATCACTCTTATATGATGAATGAGCCATCAGTGCCGTTGTCTTTAGGAGAAAAGAGAAGAGCCACCTAAATTCATTATCCTTAAACAAAAAAAACACAATTTTAATGTAGTTCAACGTATTTTACCTATATGCATAAACTCCTATTAACATAATTTGGAAGAATTAGAAGGCAAAAGGTTCATCACTCAAAAGTTTTAGAGGAAATCACTTAAGATTCAACTTATTTCATATTTAGAGCATGCGCAAGAAAAACTTTTTCTTCTTTTTATTCAGGATTTCTCAATATATTAGTAAAAGTGAATAATAATTTTTTTAAAAAATTAACAAAAGTAAACCTATACTTTTTTATATCATCAAATCATTCTTAAATTTTGAGTTGAAGTGAAAAATATTATAATGATGATTCAATATTAATTGATTAGCTTAAACACGTAGCTCGATTAAGAATAACAAAAATATATTAATATTTATTAACTTTAACTCAAATTTTAATTAATAATATAAAATATAACAAAATAACTTAAAAAAATATATGAATTAAGTGAGAGTAAAATACAATTTAAAATATAATTTCTTTATTTCTAATTTATCACATTTATGTTTTATTTGTTTTGATGAAAAAGATTATACAAAACTGAAAAAAGTTTAAAAAAAGAAAATTTGGATGTATTTATATATAATTTTTTATATAGATAAAAAAATAGTATTTTTATGAGACCCACCACAAACTCTTTTCACACAAAATGGTAACACTTTAGATAGAAATTGTTTTACGATTTTTGTATATTTTATTAAAAATTAATTTTATAATCAAGAAGAAAACGTTATATTAAATTTTTAACCTTTTATTAATATAAAATTTTATTATTATTGTAAACATATCATTTCATATAAATTAGTTTTATTCTTTTTTCGTTCATTATAAGTAAAGTAATTTTTTTAATTATTTTTTTGTTATTTCCATTTATTCAAATACCATATTTTATAGTAAAAAAAATGACTAAACCTTCGTTTTAGTTTTCAAGAGAATTTGCATATAACATTTTAGTCTGTATAAAATTAAAAATATCATATTAGTCCTTAACTTTCATTTTTGTCGGGCATTTAAGTCTCTAGACTCAAATGTCGTTAATAAATAGTAACAGAATGCTGACATGTCACATTAAGTAATACATGTCATTAATTACGTGGCAAAACAATACTGAGGTGTGTGATTAATTATGTGCAAAAACGATGTCGTATGTGAATATATATTTGTTTTATTTTAGTCCTTGTGATTATAACTTGTCGAATATTTTAGTGCATGAGATTATAACTCATTAGACATTTTAGTCCCTGAGATTATTACTAATGAACATTTTAGTCTCTGAAATTGTCACCAATGAGCATTTTAGTCCCTTAAATTATGGTTGTTCGTAGCTGAAGAGGTTTTCTACCTTCTCACCATGACCATTCTCAACCTCCTCCTCCCTCTCTCTTTCTTATTCTTAGCTACTCTCTCAAGTGCCCGATACGTTCTTCAAAGCTTAACATGGTTCCATTGGTACTCCTCAAAACCTTTCTTTTTTCTCTTACACCTCGCCGTTTACATCAATCCATGTTTTGTCTACGTTCTTATAACTATCATTAGTGTTGCTACACTGGTTCAGGAATTAATGGGTAAAATCATCCTTTTCATTGACTCATTATCGCTTTTCCAACCTCGACTCATTGTATTTAAGGAAAATTTTCAAGCTCACAAAGCCAAATGATCAACACAACATCAAAATTTAAGGAAGATGAAAAAATGTATATTAGTGCAGTGGTTTGAATTAGAACACATATGAAAGCAATATTTGCATGGAAATTAATTAATAACTTGTAATATCAAGGACTAAAATGTTCATTTCTAATAATTTTAGGGACTAAAATATTCGTTGTTGACAATTTTATGAACTAAAATATCCAATTAGTTAATGACTAAAATAAAATAAAAATATATATTATATCACATATAATGTTATTTTTGTTATTATTTATTAATGACGTCTAAATTTAAGAACTTAAATGTTGGATAGAAATGAAAATCAAATATTAACATAGTATATTTTATTTTTTAAAAACTAAAATGTCTAACATAAACTCTTTTTAAGACTAAAATAAAAATTTAATCTGAAAGAAAAAGGCTCCATTTCAGGTGGTTTGTCTTGGGGCTGCTTCTGCTTGGGAGATCATACGCCAAAAGCCTCCCAATCCCAAGGCTGCAGACTATAGACTTTGCCGCCAAAAATAATCTTTGGTTGGCCTCATATCATTGAATCTAAACCTGACTCTGTGTTATAGCCACAAACTCTAAAGTGCTCTTTCACGCTGACATATGAATACGACCCATCGTAAAATGCACTACATTATACTTTTAATATACATTATATTACTTAAAAACGGTGATAGTAGATAAGATTTGAGTGAAGTATTATAATATTTATTTTTATATTTATATTTAAAATATTTTTAATATTTGTATTGTAATCATTTTAATTTATATTATTAGATATCTAAATTTTTATATTCATCTTTATTATTCACATTTTTAATAATTAAAATATATTTTTATGAATTAACTATAAATATAATAAATATAGTATAAATTATAATAAATACAAAAAAATAACTACAATATAAATTCTAATATTAGGTATTATAATCAAATGTTATAAATTATAATACTATTAAAGTCAGATAAAGAAAATAAAGAAACATATCATAAAAAAGAAATATAGATTTAGATTAAAAATATTATTGAATAAAAACAATGATTTAAAAATCAATATTATAAATTATTATACTTGTACTTTAGGTTTGAAGTAACAATTAAAAAAAAATAGAATATTAAAAATATCTATTATATTTTGAAATTAAACAAGAAGAGCTGCATGAAATTTTGATTAGTTGTTTTAAAATTAGATATTTATTTTGATCTAATGATTGAAAATCTTTCTTCATTTTCAAATAAAAATATTATTATCTCACGATAAATAAATAAATATAAAGCATAATAAGTATATGTAATATTAAATTATTAATTTTTATTATATATAAAATAAGAGTGCGGATAAATGAGTATAAATAATATATTTGTATACATATTTATACAATTTTTTTAATATCTATTTATATTCATACTTAAATCTATTTAGTGAGTACTTATCTTATTTATTTTAAGTTTTTTTTTGTATTCATCAGATATTATTATACTCACTATCATACTTAATAATACCTACTTTCTTATAGTTAATTTTTTTATTAGGTAAGTTTTTATTTTTATTTTAAAAATTAAATTAAGACAAAAATAAGTATATAAAAGTGAGTGTTATTATTTGAAGAAAAAAAATGTAACAAATTGGGAGAAAAAAAAAAAGAAAGAAAAGAAACAGAGGAGTACGAAAAAGAAAATGGCCGTAAAGTAATGCACTAAACTGGGAAGTTTGGAGTTATGAATAAAGGGGGAATGCGATTTTTGGCGGTATTTGATATCTGATAACAAAATACAGTTTCCTTTCTCGTGAATGGTGGAACCCTCTTCCTCGTTATCCGCAATCACCACTCGTACTATCAATTCAAGACACAGATCAAGTTAATATAAATCGAGTGAAGTTTCGTTGTAATTTACTTGGGTTATGTATTTCATTAACTTTAGTTTATACTCCAACTGCTGAAACAATTTACAACTTTGGTGGTATTATCCAACCAATTCAATTCATACCATTAAACATTACTTACACTTAATAACCTAATATGAATTCACTTTAAAGTTAAATAAAATTAGTTTTAAATTCTTAAGTATTTTTTAAATGTATATATATTTTTATTAAAATGTGTGTTTTTATTAAAAAAAAAACTGTATTGTTAGCATATTGCATGGTCCTGTTCCCATATCTTAGTTTTGCTCTACCCTCTCCTAAACACTATAATCAGCAATGTTTTCTTTATTTATTTTGGAGTAATGGGGTGGGACTGTGTTCAGTGTTGAATTAGAAAATGTGATTCTCTTTGTGGAGTGGTTGTGATGGGCTGACAGATCTTCACTGTGCTTTCTCTGAACGATTCATGGGTTTTTCAGCTTGCAATGATCTATTAAATTCAGCACAAGATTGGTCTTGGAAGGGTTGTTGATTTTCTATATCCCATTTGCATTTACATTCTTTAGCTCAATCTTTTAGCTCCGAAGACCATTCTTTGAGCTGGAAAATGGGTTGTTCATTTTCCGTTGGCATACCTTGAAGGGTTGTCATGATTTTCTTCATTGTGCTTCTGTTTTGCTTTTGTATTGGCTATTAGGAGAGAGAAGAGAGATTTGACAATACATTTTGTTAAAAAATAATTTTAAAATTGGAGAGGAAATCGAGAGAAAAGCAAGTTTGATATGATTGGAGTTGAATTTTGTTACGAAAATCGATAAAATCATCTTTGAATGAAACAAGACATTCATAAATTTTTTTTACCTAGGATGCTGACCTCGCCATATACAGAGACATCGTTGCCTTACCGACAAGAAAATTGTGGAGGACTTATGTGATGCTCGGAGAATGCCCTTGATTTCAATAATTCATGCAATAGCCAATTCATGTGCATGAAACAAGACAAAGTCTATGTACCCCAGTTTTCTTTGTAATTTGAACCAATTAGGCTGGAAACCACTTATATGATCCCACTGCAACTTGTCATTTATTTTTATTCTCCTTCAAAATCTTCTGTTTGTTTTTCTACTACTTTTTTTTTCTTTATCTTCTTGAACAAACCTTTATATTAACTAATTCTAATATCAGAATATTTAGATTTTACACAGCTCCTTAAAATATCAATAGTGCTGTTTTACAATTTTGTGTCTCTCTGCCGAACATGAGGAATCGACTTTTGGAAGTCATGTTGGTAAATGTGTTAATCAGTTCTATTGTTTGAACAATTAAAAATTACGACCATGTGTAAGAATTGTTTTTATCCTTCACTTTTATTATATGTATAAGAAATACATTTATAAAGCAAAACAAATTAAAAACTAATAATTGTCACTAATAATTACCAGCAAAATATATTAATAGTTTTTTTTTATTTAAAGGGAGGAACTAAGAAATCTATTCAAGCAAGGTGATTGAGCTTGTCAATTTTCAAACTTTAATAAAAAGAAACTTACTTCATATGTTCTTAAACTCTCGTATTTGAATATAATATTTCAAAATTACTATACTGCATTAATTCATATAATAAAAAAATATTTTGAAATACTGTAAAATTTTAATTGATAAATTTTATATAAAATATATTAAATTTTAAATGACTTATCTTCAGAGAGAATTTAAAAATTTATCTCTTATGCTTCATTTATTTATTTATTATTAATTAATTTTTTTATACTTGACTTTCATTCTAAGCCTTTCTCATTTTTTATTTCAAATATTTTAGAATTTTAAAATTTTTCTTCTTAACGCTATTAATGTTGAAGACTAATCTTTGTTTATGAAAGCTAATTCTTCCTTATCACATAGACCCTTCAATTAAATGTAGAATTCTTTACTTACAAGTTACAATACTTAAAGTTAATTTGGTATGACATTAAGGTATTACTCCCCATTTATCACATTGCACATAAGCCAAACCTGCCCTTTTCAGAGCTGAACAAGAACAAGAACTAGTGTTTCAAAAGCAAAGCTAGTCCACAATTATGTCACCACAGTAAATGGGGGTAACACCTTTTTTAGCTGTAAATTTAACTACAATGACGTCATGTGAACCTAGCTTGTTAGGTAAGGATATTTCCTTGGAATTTTCCTCTTTTCTTCCTGGTCCTCTAGTTAGATTTTGTAGATTCTACTTTAGTGGCTCCAAATTCACATCAGGCTCTCGTAACCAAAAAAAAAAAAACAATATCATTGATTAATAAGAAACAATATTGACAAGGGTAAGTAAGAAAATTATCCAATTTACAACTTACAATAAAGAGTTCTAGTCTTTAACAACCACTACTAAGAAAGGAACCCATTATTCAGAAGCATACAAAACATCCAACTGTAACATTATCACTCTCTCTTCCACTCAATCAGATTTGCACATGATTAAACCTCACAACTTTCCTTTAAATTGGTCCACATCCCTTGTCCTTCCCATTGTGATTCATTCAACTATCAAACCACATTGCAAGGTGTTATTTCATTTGAAACCTTGCCATGGCTTCCAACAAGCTCATTGCTACCATTTTGGTGCTTTCCCTCCTTACCTACACAACATTCACAAATGCTTGTGGGACATGCCACCCTAAGGCTACCCCTCCTCCTGCATCTGGGAAGTGTCCCAAAGACACATTGAAGCTTGGTGTTTGTGCTGACATCCTTGGACTTGTTAATGTTGTTGTTGGGTCTCCTGTTTCTAGCAAGTGTTGTGCATTGCTTGAGGGTTTGGCTGATGTGGAGGCAGCACTTTGCCTTTGCACTGCCATTAAGGCCAATGTTCTTGGGATCAACTTGAACGTACCAGTCACACTCAGTGTGCTACTTAGTGCTTGTCAAAAATCGGTTCCTACTGGCTTCCAGTGTGCATAGAATAGAATATTCATGTTGGGTTCATATATCATTACTTTGTGTACTCTTATTTGTGCTTTCTTGTAGGTCTTGTGCAATGTGTGACATGTTTCATTTTAATAATCAGGCAATCATGTTTGCCTTAATTTACCTTTGTTCTTTTCCAGTAAATTTGGGGAAGTTTGATTTGAAGATTGTCAATTGATATTAAGTTCATGTTTGGTTTAGTTTATTTTAAGAAAATAATCGCTTATTTTGTTTATAGTTTTATAAGAAAATTAAAAAAAAAGCGATTATTTTCTTTATAAAGAAAGCTCATTCGAACATTTGTACTAGTTTTTTTTTCCTGGGTATATTGGAGGTGTAAGGATTTGAGTATACAAAGTAAACCTCCGATATCATTCTTAGACCAATGTGAATTGCAGAATTTTTTGTACTTTACAATTAGGTTCAAGAGTGTATTATAAATTATGTCATTATCGTCTAGTGTTTTTTCTTTCTTGAATCATTACCTCTTTTTACAAGAAAAATCAGTTTTGCTCTTTTTTTTTTCGTCCTCGAATTAAAGATTTTGAATTCCATTCTCTACCTATTTCTTTCTTAATTACTGAGAAGTTAAAAAAAAAAAGAGACAGAGAGAATAAAATAGAATTTCTATTTATCAATTTTCTCTCCAGAAACATCTTAGTAAGGATAATTATATAACCTGTATATTAAGCAAATAAAGTTGACTTGTATATACACTCTATCATGTTCATACGAGAAAGTTATAAATACCCTTTTTGGATACAAAATACAATGTTTCCCACAAAAGACAACAGATGCAGAGCGATCTTTAATTCTTTATAAAATTTTATATATAAGTGAAAGAAGGTGTATAAGAATCCTTGTTAAAATAAAATTGCATTGTCCGAATTGTATACGGTACATGGACAAGCAAGGTTTCACAGGTAGGGTTAGGTCATCTTTATTGCTACTTCTTTACGCAACTTCTTGTTTTTAAAAAACAGTCCATACAAAGATGCATCATTAGAGAATGTGAAGTAGTAAAAATAATAAGAACTAGTTGCTTCTGCAAGCAACCTTTGCATGCACTGTGAGGGTTCATAAGTACAAGTTTACCTTAGATTAACAAAAAAAAAAAAAAAAACCAATTATTCAAAACTTTTAAAAAAGTATCTATCCAACCAACCGTGCTGTGACATTTTGACATGGTTCTTCAACATGCATCTTAATCCAAGGTCAAACTGAAGTTATGATCAAACTCTAACGGCTTGTAACAAGTGAACTAGACGATAAATTTAAATTATAATCAAACTCTAACAAGTGTACTAGACGATAAAATCTTCACTGTCCATCAATGAGTAATCTTTCTAAGTAGAGATTATATATTTTTACAATCTCATTGTGTTATTGTCAAGACCCAGGCATCATCGTAGATCAAACCAACCACTACTGTTGACCAAACCAAAAACAAAAATATCAACCACTACCAAAATTACCTTCATTATATATAATTAAAAGTGTTGATTTTAGGATTTTTTTTTATAAAATTATTATAATTTATCATTATTTTTTATTAATATAATTATTAATTTACGTAATAAAATATAATTTATTAACAGCTACTTATTTATATTTTAATAATATATTATCGGTTAAAATAAAGTAGACTCATAAATATTAATTAATATTTAACTTGTATCAAATTTTAAGAGTTTACTTTTAAAAGTCTTATTTCTTAAATTTATGGTTATTAATGTATATATATTAATTATTGACATTTAGTTAATAAATTTTTTATACTACACGATAAAAACATTATTTTAAAATAAATTATATTATAAAATTATATCTTTATCATTTTAATACATATTATTCATATTTATAAAATTAAATCAAAATAATTTTTAAAAATATCATTTAAAATAATTTTACTACATGTAATCATTTACAAAAATATAAAATTTGTTATGTAATATTAAATTATATATATATATATATATATATATATTTATGTTAAAATAAAATACATGCACATTTTACGAGTTGCTAAATTAGTTATAAATAAAAGTATTTTATCTAAAAATGAATTATTTAATGAAGTTATTCTCTTTTATTGTTTGTGACGTGTATCTTTTAAGTTTAAAATTATTTGACAATAATGTATGAATTACATTTTCTTGTTACAATAATTTTATATTTTAACTAATTTTTTTATTAATTTTTTTCAAATTTTAGAGTTAAAAATTAGATAAAATGAATGTTTTTGTCATTAGGTAAGTTTTAATTTTATTTTTCAACTTTTTAAAATTTATTTTGGTTTCTTAAATTTTAAAAATACTTTAATTAAATAGGTCATTTATTGTTAGAAGCGTTAATTCTATTAAATTTTTTTTGTCTTTTTTTGTCATTTGAATTTTTTTATCGATGTTTTTTATGTCGTTGATGACGTAATTACTGAGTTGGATTATGTAATTTCCTTCTTTCTTTTTCATCTCTTCTTCTTTGTCTTCCATTTTATTTTCATCTTTTTATTTTTATTCCTTTTTTTTCTTTAACTATTCACTATGTCAATTTTTTTTTTTAAATAATGATGTGTAGCTAGACTTGTGTTTATGTTTGAACTACTAGTTGAAAAGCTTATATTAAAATTGAGTTGAGATTGTTATTGCAAATACTTCAACCGATGATTATGTAGCAAAAAGAATCAAAGTTAAAAAATTATGTTAAGTAGCCATGTAATTAGCGACATTGATTGTGACTCTGGCAAAGATAGATGTACCATAGAACATATGAACAAGATGAGGGCTTCTTTATAGATAGAATTTGTAGTTGGGGGAAGAGGAAAGAGAAAAAAAGAAAGGAAAAAAAAAGAAGAAAAAAGATAAAAATAGAAAGATGAAAAATGGAGGAAGAAGATGTGAGAGATTAAAGTTGCAAAATCTAACTTAATAATGACATCATTGACAACTTAAGGAAGAAGATAAATAATATACGTAATTAAAAAATAATTTTTTTTAACAAATTAAACAATTTTAATAACAAAATACTTATTTAAAGTATTTTTAAAATTTAAAAATCAAAATAAATAAATTTTAAAAAAGAAAGTGAAACTTATCTCGAAAATAAAAAATTAAAACAATAATTTTACTTAAGATTTATTATTTAATTTTTTCTTGTTACCACTTAATTATTGCGAGAAATGAGAATATTTAATGGCATCCGTTAATTATTTTATTATTTATTTATTTTTCTTTTATATATATATATATTTATTAAGAAGTTTATACAATCTCTCTCATCTTACCTATATAAATTCAAGGCATGAATGAAGGTTTAGGCAATACACTTGTACCTTGCTATTTTCATTCACTCTTCTCCACCCCTTATTCTTCTCTCTGCGGCTAGCATTCAAAGAAAACAGTTTCTTCAAAAAGGATGCATGTTACTTTGTGAATGGTCTTCTCTGTGATCTTCCACGGCTTTCTTGAACTGTGTTGTTAGGCTTCTCCAACGAAGGTTATCTCCCCAATGCAAAAGAATTCCTATGAGCATAGTTCAAGAAAGCTGTGGAAAATCACCGAGATGATCTATATGTATATATGTACCCCTTGATATATATACACGGCATCTCTCTCTTTCAGCAAAACACACATCAAGTTTCATGATTCCAGTTCATGGTCACCTGAATCAAAAGTTGTTTAATTTCTTTGTCTACTTGTCCACGTATCACCACTACTTACTCTATCTTAATTTTTCTTTATTAAAATGAGCAAAGGAAAGATGAAGATTTATTTATTTGTTTATTCTGATTGTTGTGAAATGATCACAAGATGCATGCAGATTGCTAATGATTTTTTTAATTTTTTCTTAATCAATTTTTTGGAGGCATCCCTGAATTGCCTTGTTTTGAAGTAAAAGAAAACCCAGAGGCATCATTTCTTAGTAAAAATTAGCGAGGGATGAAGGTGGAAATGCGTGCCACAGTTTTCAACTAGAAAAATAAAAATATATAAAAATCGTTACCAGCATGATTTAAAATCTTTTATATACGGTTATGCACTGTAATTTTTTTTCATCCAGAGTATCAACAATTAAAGATTAATTCTTTCCAAGTATGGAAATTAATTAATAGAATTATTTTAGTTTACCATGTAATCTTAAGTTGAGTTTTAATAAATAAAGATTATGTAGCTATGAGTTCTATAAAAAAAAAATTAAATTAAATTGTTGTCAACATACTTTTAATAATAGCACTTTAGAAGATGATGAAAAGACAACAAAATATAAATAAAATTAATTTTTTAATGGAAATGAATTTATTTGAAATATTTTTAAAGTTAAAAAATTAAAATAAATCAAAATAAATTTAAATGATAAAATTGAAATTGATTTTTAAGTTGAGGAAAAAAATAATTTTACTTAAAAATTTCTAATTATATATTTTAAAATAATTATAAAATTTAATATTTTAACTTATTTAAATTTGTTTATCATCTTAGAAATTAAGATATTATTATTTTTATTTTATCCTTGTTTATAAATATTTTTGGCTCCATCTGATAAAATTAATTATATAACTAGTTAAAATATGTTAAATGACTAAAAATACATCCAATACTATTTTTTTAATATTCATGAAATGCTACCTTATTCATATTTATTTGTCTAAAGTAAAAGTAAAATTCATTCCAATTTATTTGTTCTTGTAAAAGATTAAGACAATATTAATTAATTATTTTATTAATTTTTTCTCATGTAAAATTTTTAAATACAATAAATAAAGTATTTATTCTAGTTAAATAACTCAAAAGTCAAAGAGAGACTCACTAATAAAGGGGACATTAATAACTACACTAAATATTTATAATAAAATAATTGAATTTTTTGATCTGTATAATTTCTTTTTATGACTAAATAGGAACATGATACAACTTATCATATTTAAATATAATTTATTTTACTTATTTATTTATTATGAATAAATTTTTTAAATATATATTTTTTATTTTAAATTAATTAAATATTTTGATGATAAAAAAAAATCATGTTTTCCTTCATATATGTTTTTAAGTAAAGGTAGAAATGAGAAGTAAGTTATTGATAACTAAATTTTTATTCACTAAATGAGAAGTTAATACTACTTTTTATAACTTTTCAATAGTTACAGATTCTCTTTATTTTTTATTTACTAAATAATTCTACTAACTTATTAACCAAGACTTAATTTTGAAAAAAATTATAATGAGTATTTATAAGAGTAAAAAATTAAGTAATAAAATAAATTAATTTTTTCATAAATTAAAATTAATTTATGTTTTTATTTCTTTTAAAAACTTTTATTAACTTCTTTAAAATTTTAAAAAATAAATTATTTTTTATTTAAGAAAAATTTTATTTATTTTTATATCATTTTTTTCTTTCATAAAAACTTATCTAAAAATTTACTCAAAGTCAATAAATTATTTCTCATTTTCACTTCTCCTTTAATGTTAGTAATTTGTAATTTTAGATACTTGCATTTTAGGTAATCAAATAAACTTCCAACTAGTTAAGATCACACTCATATATATATAATTTCTTATATTCCTCAGTCACATCAATCCTTTCTCTTTGCCATCTAAGCACCACAGTAAAATCTCTCTCATCTTCCATGTATAAATTGAAGTTATCAAGACTTAGGCAATACACTTGTAGCTAGCTATTCTCGTTCATTCTTCTCAACCCCTTATTCTTCTCTCTGCGGCTACTATTCAAAGAAAACTGTTTCGAAGAAGGATACATGTTACTTTATGAATGGTCCTTTTTGTGATCTTCCACAGCTTTCTTGAACTGTGTTGTGAGGTTTCTCCAATGAAGGTCATCCCCAACGCAAAAGAGTACCCATGAGCACATGCAATTCAAGAAAGTTGTGGAAAATTACCGAGATGATCTACAATTCGTTCCACTTGGAATTAATTGTTCTATATGTTTGTATATACGTACCCCCATGATAACTATATACATGGCATCTCTCTCTTTCAGCAATACATGCATATCAAGTTTCATGATTCCAATTCATGCTCATCTGAATCAAAACAAGTTTAATTTCTGTGTGTATTTGTCCACATATCACCACTA